TCTGCAGTGTGTCGCTTCATGTAATGGTGCTGCCCTTGGGGCCCGCCAGCCCCCGTGGTCGCTCACAGTGCCGATGGCTCTGCTGAAGCCAGCCAAGTCCCCATGCCCACGGCAGAGGCCATCTTCCCCCTGGTGGCCTGGACTCGGCCAATGCCCAGGGTGGCGAAGGCCACCCCTTGGTGCCCACCAAGACATGATCTGCCCTTGTGGAGTTTCCCTCCCCAGCTCTCTGAGGCCTTTTAAAATACAAGCTGTCCTTTTAGCTTATTTTTCTAGGTGTATAACCAGAAGCATGGCATCGCAATATTTAATATTTTTAACAAGAAGAAGAACAGCACAATTTCATGTTGCATGAGGCTTACGTGTCTCTTCTGTGGCACTTAGCACTTCCTGGTAAAGGTGAATTTAAGCCTACCTAGTGTCTGTCATCTGCTGGAACCAATTTTGTGACTTTTATCAATGTAAAGTCATTTTGAGATGTCTAAGAAGTACTACTCTGGGCGCCAAATTGTCTCACTGCCTTTATCCAGGTTCACTTTTAAGGAGAATGCTTGCTGAGCTACCATTAGAAACGTATTTAACAGACTCGCCTTACTACTAAATCACTGAAGTTGCTTAATAATGGTGGGGATAATGTTTACTCCTAAATCTCACTGAGTGGCTGTTTGGTCAACAATCCGTGACTCTTTCATCAATACAAGCAATACTGATGGACTGTAGGTGACTCCCGCGCATGCCACTCTGCTTTCTATGGATACTCTGCTCGCATGCTACACCTCCTCTTCTCAGTCAGCCTCCCAGGACCCGGCTCGGCCACCGGCTCTGTGTCTGCCCACAGTTGCAGCTGAACATCCTACTGTGCTGCGCTTTGAGCTAAGATGGAGCAGCTTAACCAATATTTGCAATGAGAGTAACTTGGAAAGTTGGATTACAAATTGTTGGACAGCATTGAAGTGAAGTCTTCAAGAGTTTTAGCTCTGTCCAGGACATAGTAAAAGTATAAAGTTACTGGGGATGCCGCCAAGTCAGAGATGACCACTGTACTCTATGATAACCACACGATGACAGAAAAGAGAATGCAGATGTACTGAATGCACAGCTAAACTGGGGAAAGCAGAACCATACAAAACAGACGACTGTAGTTGCTTAGTTCACGGGTATCAGCATATTTAGTTTGTCAGGGTGAAAATCCTACCAATTAACTGCTAGTTTCAAAAACCTGCTGAAGATTCTCAGGATCATTGTCTTAACCATCCTGTACATATAAATGTATGGCTTTGCCCCTGTCATATTTCCTAGCTTTTCTCCTTGCCCTCACTTCGTTGTTTAATCCTTAAGTTCTCGCTTTCCTTTTAATTGTGGTATACTTTTCTATTTTTATTTCTTCTTTTCAGTTCTTACACTAGGGAGACTATACTATATTTACACATGTAGGTCTGGTTTATTTCACTTATGAGTATATCTTCAACTGCTGTGCAGGGTTTCAGGGTAAATCCTGAGGGGATTTGACTGACCTTGTCGGATACAAAAGTTACATTTTTTGTTATATAGTCTTGCTTTATCTTGGTCTTAACCATCCAGTAAAAAAGTATAAATTGAAGTATAAAAAGTAAAGCCATATTAATATGCTGAACTATAAAAGGCTCAAGTGAACAACTGCTGACACTGCCGGTCTTGCAGATAACCCACTACTATTATGGACTACTGGACTATATTCGATTACTCTGCTGAATTCATGTACCTACAGTATATGAATGGCAATGGAATACACATCTCTGACAAAAGTAAACAAAAAGGGATATAAATGGACCATTTTGTAGTGAAAAAATATCTACATCTGTGCATACACACAATAGCATAAATATACAGCTACTTTCTCTTAGTTCAGTGAGAAGAAGGTTTTGAACTAATAGTGTTAAGACAAGATATCATGTCTGCATCTTGTACTAGGAATAACTACTACAAAGACAACAATATGCAATGTATTAATTATTGTAACTGTCCTACTAACCTGTTTTGAAACTGTCTCATTGCTACTTCTTTCTCAATAAAATTAAAGTAAAAAAATAAGAAAGCACATAGATGCCCTATGAGAGGAGATTTCAGTGTACCTGAGTCAGCTTAAGGAGGCCTCTCTGCCTTTATTCTTATTTAAAAAAGAACAGTAACCTGAAATAACTGAATGTTAACTAATCAAATGCCATCCTATTGCTCTGCGTCTTTCTTGCCACCCAACACAGCTTCCTGTTCCGTCACCGCCCAGTGGAGGCTCCTATTCCATTTCCTAGAATTTGGGTTGCTCCAATTTATAAAGACAGCATAAGCCAATAAAAGCTACAAGAAGAAAAGACAGATTACTCCACAAGAAGGAAATGTGGGAGAGAAAATGAAAATAAAACAGGTGGGATGAGGAGAAATAAAAAAAAAAAACTGTCATAGACATATGCTAAAGTATATCTGCAATGACAGTAAATGTTAGTTTTTGGACTCAGTGTAAGAATTAAAGAATACAAGGCCCTCTTAGGCCTCATTTTGAAAAGTGTGCTGTGTGTGAGACACATGTAAATAGTGATGCACAAAGGACAAAAGGAGACGCCATGCAACACCCAAAGGAAAGCAGCTGAACAAAGCGGTGTAACTGACACCAGTGTATTAACTGCGGATCAAATAAACATTCAAAGCCAAAAGAGTCACTAGAGTTAAAGAGATTATAGAGAGATAAAAATCAGTCTAGCTGTTGGAACTGTAATAAAATTATTTGAAGTATATAAGAAGAATAAATAGCAGCGCTTTTTTGCAAATCAGTAAAAACTGCCTCTATCCAGATTCACTGTTGAGGAGAATGCTGGCTGAGCTACCAGGAGAAACGGATTTAACAGATTCACCTTACTACTAAATCAATGGAGTTGCTTGATAATGGCGGGGATAATTTTTAATCCTAAATCTTACTGAGTGGCTGTTTGGTCACATTTTATCTCCTCTCCTTGAGATAGAAAACGAGAACAGAAAATAAGATTACGCAAGTCACCTGACAGCAAGCCCAAGCGCTGGTTGTTTCCAACGCCCACAACCTCCACGAGCTTCTCACGGGCTGTGTAAGGATGCTCTTGCGGTCCTTACAGACCGAGCGTGTCGCAGAAGCAAACAAGCCCCAAATATCACAGTTCCGGACCACCACAGCTGTTTCCTACAGATGGAGGCGCCGCGCTGAGGCTGTGGGTGGCGCAGCACTCCCGGCGCCCGCCTCTCCCAGCTCTTCCACATCGCCATGTCTTTCCACAGTCACATGGGAGGGAAAGGAGCTTGAGGGTGGCACTCACACGGGCTGTCATCGGCTGGAACTAAGTAGGGAGCCCTGCTCGACTGCAGTGGCCACAAGGAAGCCTCTCAGTGAGTGCAGGAGAGCAGAACTAGGCGTGCGGTAGGGGCAGCGGGTGTGCCTGTCGCAGGTGGAAACTTCCAGCTTAGGAGGCCACAGCTCCATGAGGCCCTGCGGCATGACACCCTGGGGCGAACAAGGGAGGCTTCTGTGCCCACAGCTGCTGCCTCCCACCCTTTCTTCACCAGGCTCTGGGGCAAGGATGCAGCCCCCTCAAGGGGGGCCTTCATAGCACTGGTCACTTAGCAGAGGGAGCCCTCTCTGAGAAAGATGGGGGCTGGGTCGCCATGACCACAGCCCTCACCTGGGTGCACCAAGGCAGTAAGAAAGTGACTGCTCTCTGGATATCCCATGACTGGAGCCCACCTCTGAGATGGCACACTACTTGGTGGTCTAATGATTCTGAGCGCCCTTGGCTGGTGGAGGGGGAGCCTACTGGCTGCTGACCTGTCCCAGCTGCCATTACACTGTGCTGATCTGCCTCTGTGCGTGGGCGCGCGTGTGTGCATGTGTACTGGTGGGGCCTGGGGATTAATCCTTCGCATTGAGCTACATCCCCAGCCCTTTTTATTTTTATTGTTTATCTTGAGACAAGGTCTTGCTAAGTTGCCTAGGCAGACTCACACTTTCAATCCTCCTGCTTTAGCCTCCCAGAGTCCTAGGATTCCAGTTGGATCTGACTTAACTGGTTCTGACCTGCAGGGGGCCCTCACCTTCCTCCAGAGCCCAAGTACTTCCCTGGCCAGGCGGAGGCCTGACCCCAACAGTGTCTTGCTAGTCTTGAGCTAAAAAAAGAGACTGGAAGACATTATAGGACTATGAACTCTACGGTAGCTTGGACGCACTTGAAAATTGCCTCTTCCCTTATTTCTGCTCTTTCTCTGTTACAGCAAAAAGCAGCTTTCTGAAATGTTTTTACTTCCAAAGCGAGCTCTATGCCGCAGAGTCACAAAGTGGCTCCCGGCACCCACCTCCAGCAGGAGCCTCTGGTGCAAAGCTTGGGTCTGCGTGAGGGCTTCGCATGACACTTTCAGGAGGAGCTCCATCTTTTTTAAGTTTCGAAAATCTCGTTCCTTTTCTCTCTGCTTGTGAGAAAGCTCATCATGGTAGTTCTGCTTGTCGATGAGACTGTTTCGTAAACTGAGGTCCAAAATCCCTCTGTCGAGGTAAAGGGAGAGAATGAAGGTGAATGAAAGAGCCAATGTCGTCAGCTGTCCCTGTGCTTCTCAAAGCTTATCAAGATGCATCCTGGACATATAAACTCTACTTGGGTCAGAATTGTAATTGTAAACGATGCCCAAAGCAACCAGGTTTTTAATACGGATCATTTAGAGTTATATCTTACAAACTCTTCAAATGTAATAACAAATAGGCAGAGATAGAAGCCCCCAGATCCCTAAAATTTATTTGGAAGTAGAAAATAGGGATGGGGTAGGGTGCAGTTCGGTGGTAGAGCACTTGCTTAGCATACATTTATTCTATTCCCAGAACTGGAAAGAACTGAAACAACAACAAAAAAGTAGGAAACAAAGTACCCCAGGGGAATCACACCATGAAATTATTTCATGGGGACAAAATCATGATCACATCAGAAATGCCATCATTGGCTGCCAAAATCCTTGAACTGCACAGCACACACTGCAGTGATTTAAGTTTTCATAGGTATACTTCAGAAAGTTGCAACACATGATGATTTTGTCCTTAACACTCAGTTATATAGAACTGAGAAAACTTATGCATTAAGGATGGAAAAAGCACTTCAAAATGCTTTATTTGTTAACATATTTCTAAATTCCTGAACAACTTAATTAAAATTCTATAAAATCATATTGAATTGAATCAACACAAGACAATGTGAGATCGTGCTTTGAATCCTCACATATAGTGACGTAGGTACTACGAACCTTTCGGTCAGTGACGACGCTTCATTCTCCCGGGTTAATTCCAAAAGCTTGACTAGTTGGTTATACTCCCGCTCTCTGACTTCGAGTAAGGCTCGTTTGCTTTCAACTTCCTTCATTACATCCTCCTTCTCTTCCACCAGAGCACTAACTTTGCTTTCCACTTTCTTTAGGGAGTTGTTTAGTTCTTTGACTTCGTACTCCAAGACAATTTTTTTCCGTTCCATTTCTCTGTAGAACACACACACACACACACACACACACACACACACACACTTTATTTTGTCTGTGCTTAAAACCAGGCAGATGAACTAGGCATAGATTTAGTGGCCTAAAGACCACGGGAGTGCGGGACGATCAGGGGTGAGACGGGCCTAGGGTGCCTTTCTGATTGCCCCTGAGGCAGGGCTGTGCCCACCTCCCGGTTCCCCTCCAGCTCTCAGGCACTACCATCTCTGCCATTCTCTCTTCATTCTGACCAGCTTCCTGGAAGGGACCTGAATTTCACAACTTTGGTCCTGGCAAACTGGGTTTTTAGAACAATTGCTACTTCTTTCTACCCCTCTTGCTTTACGATCAGCCACCAGAGCAATCATTTCCCCAGAACATTTGCAGCTTTGCTTCTGTTACGTTTCTGGTTCCTGAAACCCTGACGGTCTCTCTGGTGACCTGCCCTGCATGTCTTGGGGGTCTGTCACACATGAGCAGGTCTCAAAGTGGCGTGGTGCTGCTCCTTCACGCTTCTGGCTGGCTGACTGACTTCTGGACCATGAAGTTCCAGCCAGTTCAAATCATTTATCCCTGATTTTGCTAAAGTCAGTTGGAGTTCCCTAGAAATATATGATTTATAAGTTGGAAACAGAATCTTGACCCATAATTATGGCATACATAAGAATTATGAATCATAGTAACTTGCTGCACTATCTCTTAAAGAACTTAATATATGAAAGCCAGCCAGGACAAAAGAGCAGACAATTATGAGTCTGAAATGTCCAGGGCATACACTTTTCACTTCAGTGCAAATGCATTACTCAGGGGAGGTTGGCTGGAGAGATTCAAAATAAAAATATTAAGCCATACACTTTTTTGCGCATTATTTTTTCTATCTCCTTTCCGATCTGTATAGGAATAGTTTGATGTTGGACCACTTCATCCTGGAAAAGAAATGCAATCAGATGTATAGCCTCAGATGAGAAGAAATAAGATAAGCAAATTAAACGGGAGTGAGAGAGGACCTACAGTAGGTAGATTCCTTAGATTCTGTGTGCTTTAACTATAAGACCTTATAAGACAGTAGTGTTTAACTGCATCTGACCTATACTGTAGGACTCAGCTCAGATTTCCCCAGGGAAAGAACCTCCTCTGCACCCTGCTCCAAGATCAACTGCTACCGCCTCATGCTCTTTATGGTATTTATTCTAATATCCAAAAATATTTGAAGTCCAGAGAGGCCTATTTCCCAGGGTCATAGCTTTAAAATGGAACAGTATTATCTATCAAATAGTCTTTCATGAATTCCCAGAGTTTAGTCTTAGTTTCATGGGCTCCAAACAAGACAAACATTTCTTTTTGTTGAGCCCAAGTAGTAATTAACCTTTGTGCTTTATAACCCTGCTGGCACTCTGTGTAAATACACATAGTAAGTAGCATACCTTCAGGACGACCTGGTGTTCCAACACTTCTTCTAGTTCCTTCCGCTCCTTGACCAATTGCTTTTGCTTAGATGCCAAGTCCTCTCGTAAATTTTTAATTTCTAATTTCTTCTGTATTATTTCCTTACGTAATTCTTCAGTGCTTTCTTTCAGAATTTTCATCCTCTTCTCTATTTCCTTTAAAAGTTGCAAAAATTATCAGGTTGCACATTTCGAGCAAATGTTTTTCTACCTTAAAAACTAAATTGCGAATACTCTCCCTCATCATGTTGATTATTTTTGTTTTGAGGTTTATGAATGCTTTCTCACAAAGCTAAACGTAGCTCCTGATTTCTGATATCTTCAATGAAGGCACAACAGTTGTACTGTATGTTTAATTAAACATTTTAAATTAGACTTGAACTACTTTTTTAAAGTAGCGTTTCACAGGCGGATCACTATGAGTCCACCCTGAACACCCTGTAGACCCTTCCCTAAAGTACAAAAAAAAAAAAAAAAGACAAAATTTTCTTCCTTTGGGGTATGAATTTACATGAATCAAATTTATTGCATGTATCAAAAAATAAACTTGTTATTGAAAATTTTGCTTCCCTTTTAAATCTGGAGGGTAAAAAAACATGCCTTACATTAAAATACATGAAATTCATCTGGATGTGGTGGTACAATCGAGAGGCTAAGGCAGGAAGACTCAAAGTTTGAGCCCAGCCTGGACAACTTAACCTGGACCCTTTCTCCAAATGAGAAAATAAAAAGAGTGGGAGGTAGTGCAGTGTGAAAGCCCTGGGTTCAATTTTCATACCCAGGAACAAAGCCCAAAATAAGATGTGTTCTGAGGAACATGCACAAGCTTCAAAAAAGGCATGTATTTTTGATACTAGTTATCTAAAAAGTATGTAACCATAACAGAAAAACCCACCTGTTTTAAAGTAGCGTTTCATAATTTAAGTATTTCCTTTTTGAGTTAAATTTTTCTTTCATCACAAAAAGTATTAATGAAAATGTCTGTTCTGTTGTCTACTGGGATCTCTTGTCATAACAGGAGACCTCCAGGTGGTCAGGGCTGTTTCTCTACATCCCGATTCTCTGCCTGACCACAACAGCAGAGGCACGTCATCTCTGCCTACCCGGATGATGGCTAGCTCGAGTCACGGAGAGGAACTGAAGGAAGGGGTTCGTGTCTGGAGAGCCCAACACTTTTGTCCCTTAACCACAATGCCCCTTTCTTCTCAGTATTGCTTCTCCAGCTTCTGCATATGCTTCCAAGTGCCCTGTGCCACAGACAGCTGCGTTGAGTGCTCCAGAGAGGGACTTGTGGAGCCAAGCCTGCTGCTCAGAAAGCCTGCAGGGTGCAGTGGGCTACGTGGATGGATCTGTCTGGCCTGCTATGAGCTTGCTGCATAGCCCCTAGCATTCTACCAGTGCTAGGAGAGAGTCACTTCTGTCACCTACAATCTGAAGCTAAAATTCAGGACACTTTTTCTCATAAAATCTGTGCTGCAAATGGCTATGAGATGAACTTAGATAGAGTGGTATTTTATTATTAATAAACAGGTTTTTCGTGGGCTGGCCATGAAACTGCACCGTGAACAGTACTTTTTAGAAATTTAGGCATTAGAAAGTGGAAGCAAAGCAACATACAATGACTTTTCTATTTACTCTTTATGATGGATGAAAAAAAGGCCACAATGTCCCCCATCCTTGGGATGGCTGGCCCCTGAGATATCTTGCCTATCCTTTCTGTCCTTTCCACTAAGAAAGAGGGCTATTTTTCTACGTCCTTATTCTTCACCTGACCACGTGGCTTGCTCTGACCAACAAGACAGCATCGGAAAGCTCTTGCACGTGGAGATTTGCCTTCTGTTGAGGCTGGAAACCCTATCACTACGATGTGACTGCCCAGGGAAGGGTGACCTTTGGCCAGCCGGCCTGTGGTAGGGCTCATGCAGAGGCAAAGCCTTCTTCCGTCGCTCGGCCCCAGTGTAGCAGCTGAGGAAGGAGAGGCTGTTGTTCTGAGCCACTAAATTTGCAGATGGCTTGTTATGCAAGAACACATAAATGATATGTGCCCTTTATTAACATTTCATGTCATAGCAAGAGATCTCCAGAAAGATATGAGGGTAACAGCTGCAGCAGGCTGACGGTCGTGAGCCAGCCACAGGACGCTTTTTTCTTCTAGAAACAAAGTAGATACTGTACAGCTAATTACAGTGAAGGATGCCAAACCCCTAACTCCTCTAGCAGGCAACGCTTACATCTACTCCAGAGTTGTGACCATATTCCTTCCAGAGTCATCAACAGTTGCGATTTGTGGTCTTTCTGGGTAAGTACATAGTGCTAAAGACTTAGTTTTTTAAAAAAGGGGTCTTGGCTCTGCCTGCATCTACCAAACTTTAAATCTTTTAATACTTACTCCTGGCTTTGGTATCTTCTCAAATTCCTTTAATATGAGGTTCTTTTCTTCCATTAAGCTGCCCAAAAAAAAAAAAAAAAAAATCAAGTTTGATGAAATCCAAAAGGACGAGCTCTTTCCACGTCAGCACGCGCCTTTCTCTTGCCCAGGGCTGTGCTCTGTGGTCCATTCTTTAGGGCGACTTTCCTGACTCTCCCATGCCTATTTTGGGGCTTGCTTCTCTGCGGTGACCTGCACGCCGGGCCCGCACACACAGCAGCGCAGTTAGCGCAGGACCATGTGGGGCGCTCAGGCTCCCTGGGGGCGGCTCTGGGCCTCCCTCTCCTCCCCTGCCACGGACTGGGGCTGTCTGCACCCCTGCCCCTGCCTCCCAACAGCCACAGCCATTCCATCAACTCGCAGCTCAACCACTTGCCATCACACTGGACCGGAACGTGAAGCCTTCCCACACCTGCCTGTCCCTGCCTAATCTGCCTGCTGTAGTTGATACATTGAGTCAACTTGAGGGGCCAGAGGTTTAGCTGGTGGGGCTTATTCCTAGGTAGTGGAGACCCCGCCCTAGAGTGACTCAGCGCTTAAAGGGTATGTAAAGGGGTTGGGCCGGCTTCCCGGGGCCACTTCCCCAGAGCTCCACGCGACTTTGCAGGCGCGCCACTGTTGTGGAGGAGCTTGATCTTCAGAGCTGCACCACTTCCTTTGAGGAGAAGGATCTTGATCTTCGCAGCCGCCACTACTTCCACCTCTTCCTTGGAGGAGCTCCAGTCTTTGCAGTTGGCTGCAAGGAAGAAAGCGAGGCTTGATAGCCACCGCAGGTGCTGCTCCTCCTCTGCTCTTCGTTGTCTTTCTTCTGCAGTCATGAACTGCTGCCGCCTGCCTTGCAGCCCGCGGGGTGTGGACAGAAAACTCCACTAACTGAGCTAAATAAACCGTTCCTTTCTTAATTTGGTGTGTTGGTGTCTTGTCCCAGCAATGGGAGACACGGCCCCTCCAGCCTCTCGGCTCAGCACCCCACGGCTCTGGCTGCACTGGCTCCTGGTCAAACTGAGCCCTACCTTAGGGCCTTTGCCCCAGGCATCTCCCCAGGGACTTGGTCTTGCCACAAATCTTTGCATACCTAGGCTTTTAAGTGTGGATGTGCGGAGGCAGCCACCGTCCTATCTTTCGTTGGCATCAACATTCACCACTCTTCCCTGACCACGACTCACTTGGGCATAGTGCGGATTGCCACCAGTCGCTGCATCGTGGGTCTGTTTATTTCTCAACTGTGTGTCACGGCCATTTTCCCTTTCTGGCTGCTTAGGGATTCTGCTCATCAGAGCCTCCCTTGCGTTTGCTTGGGGCCACGGGACTAGTGAGCCAGGAAAACAACTTATTGCATGATTTTACTGACTTTTTTTTTTAAATTTTATTTATTTGTGTGTGTGTGTGTGTGTGTGTGTGTGTGTGGCCAGCTCAGTCCACCAGGGGGCGGGGCTGGCTGGCATGTGGTGCTGGGGGATTGAACCGTGGTCCCTGTGCTTTGCTAAGCTTGTTCTAAGTAGGTGCTTTAGACCACTGAGCCATCTTACCACCCCTTTAATGACATTTTAAGATATTTTTGTTATTGCTGCAGACCCGAGCCAAAGCCTAATATTTTATTTTCTCAGTCTCTACACTGTTTTCAAAGATTCGCTTCCAGTGGTGACTTTTAAATTGGTATCATCAGCTCGGAATTTCCTTGAAGACCAAACTTTCATGTCAGAAATAAAGAAAGGAAGAGCATCGAAGACCAAGTAAGGATAAAGGACATATTTTTCCTATTAATTGACATAATAGATAAGTTTGTTCAAAATCATAATACCAATACTGTATTTAATTATTTATGCTTACAAATAGAAACATGCTTATTTATATGCTGGTGCATAAGAAATGATGACACAAAGGGTGAAAGTGAGACATTGGTGTTGTTTTTATTATTATAAGGTACTTAACACTGTATACAGTAGTGCTATTTGTAAGTTCTTGGAAATAGTTGTAAATATATTCCAAACTCTAGGACAGCCATTAAAAAAGCAAAAAGAAGCACAATTTATAATGCCAAGAAAAGAGAGAAAATAAATAATATAAAATGCTTGGTTATTTGTAAGAAAGTCTTTTTTTTTTTTTTGGCTTTTACGCTGAATACCATTCTGGCTATTCTTTTAAGATAATGGTACACAGTGTACTAACTATTGTTATTCTTTAAGTATTTTATTATGCAGATTTAAAATAAAAATATCCATTACGATAGCACAAGAATGCTTGGCTAAAGCCACGAAAAACTGAAAAAGAGTGGATGGTAAAAATAGGAATAAAGAGCCAGGATGACAATCAGAATACACAGATAAGAGCCAAAGAGATAGCTCGGCAGTCTAAGTGCCTGCCTGGCAAGCACGAGGACCTGCGTTCCATCCCCGGAACCTGGGGTGCAACATGCCAGCCACCAAACGTGGGTGTGGTGGTGCCCTCCTGTAATCCCAGCACAGGGGAGGCTGAGACAGGAGTATCACTATGAGTCCAAGCTGTGTAGTGAGATCCCGTACCAAATAAATAAATAATTTGTTTTGAAAAGAATACAGAGACAAATACAGTAAATGTTAATCTAACTATATCAATAGTCACGTTAAATATCAGCTAAAAGGTGATTGGGGGGCTGGGGAGATAGCTTGGTGGTCTAAATGTCTGCCTGGCAAATGCAAGGACCCAGGTTCAATCCCTGGTACTGTATGCTGTGCTGGTCCCATGCAGAGTGGGCCACCTAAACTGGGTGTGGTGGCACAGGCCTGTAATCCCAGCACTGGGGAGGCTGAGACAGGGGGATCACTTGAGTCTGAGTTTCATAGTGAGACCCTGTATCAAATAAATAAGTAAATAAGTAAATAAATGATTTTTTAAAAGGTTATTTGAGCAGATAGAAAAATAGTAAGACCCAACTATAGCTTGCCTATAAGAAACTCACTTTAAATATAATAATACATATAAATTAAAAATAGATTGATAAAGATAGGCTGTGCTAGTCTAAAGAGAGCAGGAATTGCTTCCGAGGTTAAGTATCCCTAATCTGAAAGGCCAAAACCTGAAGTGTCCTAAAATCTGACACCTTTTGAGTACTGACAGTGATGGTGTTCACAGCTGCAGCTTTTGGGTTTAGGGTCCGGGAGGCTCGGCTGGCAAAGCCCATGCCGTATTCCACAATCGAAGACCTCTGAAACCTAAAACGCTTCTGGTCCCAAGCATTTTGGATAAAGAATAATGAGTCCTATTATTTTTAGAGTAGATTTTGAAGCAAAGAAAGTGATTCTGGATAAAGAGGGGGTGTTACCTAACAACACAGGAATAAGGTCTCCAGGAAGACATATAATTCTTAACCGGTAGGCACCTGAAAGCTGGGTCCTAGTACATGAAGCAAAACTTGAGAGAGCAGAAAGGAGAAAAGGCATAAATGCACAGTGACAGTGGAGGACTTCAGTGCTCCTCTGCCAGACATACATGTAGAAGGCAGGAGATCAGCAAGCACCTTGGAGAACTCAGTAGCACCCTCGATCAGGGGACATAACAGACAACGGTGGAGCAGTGTTTCTCCTGACAGCCAGCATCACTGTGAGCTGGGATTAGGAAACACAAGAAACAGAAAATATTAGGAAGCGCAGTGAAGTGGGAGCATACGGTTCCTTTCCCTCGGTGAGACTAAAGCAAAGAAAGAGAGCATTCGCGTCCTACTTGTATGGCAACTGCTAGGATGAAATCACATGGTGCTAAGGTGAAATATGGGCAACTGCCTCCACAGGGATTAGCCTGAATAATGGAATAATAATAGGTTGAATACAATCACTTACTTATTTCTTCTTCCAATGATTCCATTTTGTTTGCCAGACTTCTTAAAGAACGCTAAGAGAAATATTTTCCATTTTTCTTGTTATACTGCATTTGATGACTAGCTACTATGAGACAAAGAAGTCCTAAGATTTCCCAGATTTGGTCAACACAAATTCACAATGTGGAAGACTTCTCTGTAAAATCAAAGTTGGGCTGCAGGGAGTACCGGGGCCCCTGGCTGTACCAAGCCGATCCCACACATCAGTAAGTCTGAGAACACGGCACAAAAGGCGTGTGCGCGCCAGTGTTCATTTTGAAATCGAATTGCAAAAATGTACGTTAATATTAGTGTCACATTGAATTTAGTTGTCCCAAGCACAAAACGAAGCTGAATGTTTTTTAGAGCTTTGGATACTCGGCTGTTGGCTTTTTTTGCAGCTTGTGGAAACTGGAGGTATTTCAGTTCCCAGAGCTTAATCCTACGCCTTAGCCGCCAGGGGGCGGCAGTGTGCTTTCCTCTTGGGTTGGAAAGGCGACCACCGAGTACTGGAGTTTCAAAATGGCTCTGCTGGAAGGTAGGACTTACACAGATACTCTCTTTACACAGATATGAGTGACTTTCTAACAAGCAAACAGACACAAAAATAGATAACTACTTATGACATTTTAAACTAATTACGTTTCTGTTCTACATTTTTCTTTTTATTAAGAGACAGGCGTTGATTTTTATTTCCTTGAAAAGATGTTTTTCTTTTTAAATTTATTTTAAAGAGAGTATAATAATAATTGATAAGGCGTTAGAGACGGCACACATTTAGACGAGCAAGATGAGAGGTATTCAACTGTGGCTTTTGCACTGCACTTTGGTTTCTTTGATGTAGTTGTGCAAACTGCAGCTATTAGCACAGAGAGTGAATCAAAGTGAAAAATTTAAACATTAGCTGCTATTTAAAAAAAAGATGAAAAATACCTGTTCCATATTATGCCTAAGATGTTTGATATGCAGACAGATAGTGAGGTTAAGCTTAACACCCTAGGTTGTATGGCAATAACAATAAGCTTGTCTTCTGGAGGGTTAACAACCTAAGTTTGCAGACCAAAATTAGAGAAAAAGGAGGGCCACAAGGAAAGCCAACATTTTGGCCCTAGCCTTCCATGGTCAATTAAGACTCAGGACATAGGAGAATTTGTATTGTAACTGTCATGTAACTCGGCAGTGTCCCA